CTATGCATGAGACATGACATTTGATTGCATTTCATTTAGGAAATTAGAAACTAGGTTAGATCATTTGCTTGCTAGACTAGGAAAAACCCTTTGCATATGGGATATGGACGAGTTTGGCTTTCTAACCTTAGCACGCTCGTATTTCCTCTATTAAAGGGAACATTGAAAGTCACGAGTATAAGTCCCCCGCACCCATTATGATGCATTCCTTTAGGTCATACACATTTGTATATTATTATTTTCTTTACTTTTTCTTTCTTTAGAGTCTCACATTTTTGCATTATTCGTGACCTCTCCAAAGAGTCCACATTGGGCATCACAATTAATGTGACTGGCACCAATTGAGTTTTGAAGAGAAATTTTGACCCTCCGATACCCTCTTACGTCTAGGGTTTGCATTCATATAGAACATCCAAATGTGATAAATTTTTAGGTTAAAATAAGAAAATTTTTGACTAAATCGTGCAACTAGTCTTAGCTAGGTTGAAAGGGTGCTTTGGATTCTTATCCTTGCCTTCCCTTTCTTCAAATGTGACTCCCAAATTTTTTTTTTCTGATTTTCGTAGACTTGAAGTCGTTTAAAAAGGGTTTTCTACTTTTTTCCTTTAAAAATTTATTTTTAGGTGACTTGGTACACCTTAACTCTATACCAAGTGACGACTCCATTTTTCATTCAAAAACCCTTTTTAAACTATATTTTGGGTCAAATCGTCGCATTTTCAAGCCCCATTTAGACCCATATTTTTCATTTTCTTTTTAAATCAAAAATTCATTTTTCAATCAAAAATTGAATCAAAAGCCATTTTTCTAAACTCGTTTTTTATTTTTGTTATATTAAAAAATGGGGCGCGACAGTACGCCAGCCTTCGACTTCTCATGTTTGGCAGAAAGTTTGAAAGGAGCATTGGGGCGCCTTATGGATCAAAAATTTGAGGCCATGAATGAACGACTTGGCAGGTTGGAGGAGTTCCAAAGTAGCTCTAGACAAAGTCACCAAAACCCAAGGAGCCGTGATGGACCTGCACTTGAACTTCATGATTCTAACTCTGAGTGTGAATTTGACTATGGGCCAAGGAAATCGAGGAGAGATACTAGACCTGTGGAGGATGAAATGAAAAGGATTAAACTTAAAATCCCTTCCTTCCAAGGCAAGTCGGATCCCGAAGCATACCTAGATTGGGAGAGGAGGATCGAAATGATTTTCGATTGTAACTATTACACGGAGTTTCAAAAGATGAAGTTGGCTGCCCTTGAATTTACGGATTATGCATCTATTTGGTGGGATCAAACTTCGCATCAAACAAAGAAGGGAGGAAGAGCCAATTATCCGAACATGGGATGAACTTAAACGTGTCATGAGGAAGCGCTTCATACCAAGCTACTACCATAGGGATTTGCACCATAAATTGCAAACTCTCACACAAGGAAGTATGACGGTTGAAGACTACTTCAAGGAAATGGAAATGGCCATGATGAGGGCTGATGTCCATGAAGATTTGGAAGCTACAATGGCTCGATTTTTGAGAGGACTTAATGCTTCAATTGCCGATGTTGTGGAGCTTCACCATTACCTTGACATGAGCGAATTGTTGGACAAAGCTATCAAGGTGGAAAGGAGGCTCAAGAGGGGGGGGTACCACTCATCCAAATTCCCACTTCCAAACTGGAAATTGGAGGAATCAACCCCTAAAGAGGGAATCCAACTCCTTGGGTACCTCTACTAAGCTGCGTGAAACCTCAAGTGAAGTGTGGAAACCGAATGCACCAATTTCCAACTCCAACCATATGAGCGGGTTTAAGGGCAACCAAGAGACCTCTAAGCCTAGAAACCGAAACACTAAATGTTTTAAGTGTTAGGGATTTGGACATATTGCATCACAATGTCCAAATCAAAGGACCATGCTTATGTTGCCGAATGGTGTAGTGTTGCCCGATGAAGAAGACGAGCGTGATGAAATGCCACCCTTGATCGAGGACGAAGATGAGGAGTTGATAGAAATTCCAACTACTGATAAAGTGCGATTGGTGGCAAGGAGAGCGCTAGCTACTCAAGCTAGTAAAGATGAACTTCAAAGAGAAAATCTCTTTTATACGAGGTGTCATGTGAATGGCAAAGTCTGTAGCTTGGTGATTGACCCACGAAGTTGCACTAACGTTGCTAGTGCATTGATGGTGGAAAAGTTTGACTTGCCAACAATTGAACATCCTCGACCTTACAAGCTTCAATGGGTGAATAACAGTGGTGAGGTACGTGTTCATAAGCAAGTTTTGATTTCTTTTCGTATTGGTAGGTACCTAGATGATATCTTATGTGATGTAGTACCAATGCAAGCTGCCCATATCCTTCTAGGTCGACCATGGCAATTTGATAAAAGAGTCATTTATGATGGTTTTTTGAATCAATACTCCTTTGTGCATAGTAGTAAAAAGTTAACACTTGCGTTACACCTCAACAAGTGCATGAGGATCACGTTGGTTTGCAAAAGGATTATGAATTGTATGGAACTACAAAGAAAAATCCAAAAATGCAAGAATCAGGGATGACCGAAACAAATCAAAGAAAAAAGGAAAGTGATAATTCGGTCATCGAGTGTGGGGAAGCTAGGAAATCCAACATGTTTGCTAGGGTTAAGGATGTTCGAAAGGCATTACATTCTAACCAGATTTTGATTATATTGTTTTGTAAGAGACGTTGCTCACTGATCAACTTGCTTCCTCCTTGCCTAGTATTGTCACTAACCTTTTGCAGGAGTATCAAGACGTGTTTCCCGATGACATCCCTAACGGTTTGCCACCTATAAGAGGGGTAGAACATCAAATTGATTTCATCCCTGGGGCTTCTTTACTCAACAAAGCACCGTATAGGACAAATCTCGAGAAAATTAAGGAGCAACAAAGACAAGTGGATGAGCTCCTTGGCAAATGATGGATTCGTGAGAGTCTAAACCCTTGCGCCGTACCTGTCCTACTTGTACCTAAGAAGGATGGAGGATGGAGGATGGAGGATGTACACTGACTGTCGTGCAATTAATGCCATAACGGTAAAGTATCGCCATCCCATACCTCGTTTAGATGACATGCTTGATGAATTGTTTGGTGCTATAATTTTTACTAAAATTGATTTGAAGAGTGGTTACCACCAAATTCGCATGAAAGATGAGGATGAATGGAAAACTGCTTTTAAAACTAAATATGGGTTATATGAATGGTTGGTCATTCCTTTTGACTTAACCAATGCACCTAGTACCTTTATGAGATTGATGAACCATGTCTTGCGTCCTTTCATTGGTAAATTTGTGGTAGTTTACTTTGATGACATCCTAATCTATAGCAAGAGCATGGACGAACATATGATTCATTTACAAGCTGTTTTGGACGCATTTCGAAAGGAAAAACTCTATGCCAACCTTGAGAAGTGTTCTTTTTGCACTGACCAACTTGTGTTTCTAGACTCTGTTGTAAGTGCACAGGGTATACAAGTTGATCAAGAAAAAGTGAAGGCTATAAGTGAATGGCCAACACCTACTAGTGTAAGTGAAGTACGATGCTTTCATGGATTGGCTAGCTTCTACCGACGCTTCGTCAAGGATTTTAGCACTATTGCTGCTCCACTTACATCAATCGTCAAGAAGAACGTACCATTTCATTGGGGAGAAGAACAAGCTATGTCTTTCCAATTACTTAAATACAAGCTCACATATGCACCTGTTCTTAGTTTACCTAACTTCGATAAGGCTTTTGAAATTGAGTGTGATGCTTCTGGCATAGGTGTTGAAGCTGTTCTCCTTCAAGAGGGTCGACCAATTGCCTATTTTAGCGAAAAGTTGAATGGCGCTTCACTCAACTATTCAACCTATGACAAAGAGTTCTTGGCATTGGTTCGCTCACTTCAGACTTGGCAACACTACCTCCGTCCGCAGGAGTTCGTTTTGCACACAGACCACGAGTCGCTCAAGCATCTCAAGTCTCAAACTAAACTAAGCAAACGACATGCACGATGGGTTGCCTTCATTGATAGCTTTGCATTTGTCATCAAATACAAAACAGGCAAGACCAATGTAGTGGCCGACGCGCTTTCTAGGAGGTACACTCTTATCACTACATTAGAAGCAAAATTACTAGGTTTTGAGTCCATCGAGGATATCTATGCAACTGATCCAGATTTTGGTGAGATATTCACTTCCTTGCCACGACACACTTGTGAGCATTATTTTATCTCCCAGGGTTTTTTGTACTATAGAGATAAATTGTGCATACCAGTAAGCTCGATGCGTACACTCCTAGTTCGAAAGGCATATGGTGGAGGACTTATGGGACATTTTGGCATTGCTAAAACATTATTAGTTCTCCAAGAGCATTTCTTTTGGCCCTGCATGCGGAGGGATGTCGAGCGACATATTGAAAGGTGCGTGACATGTCATCGTGCAAAGTCCAAGGTAAATCCTTACGGCCTCTACACTCCTTTACCAATTCCATACAAACCCTGGGTTGATTTATCTATGGATTTTGTCCTTGGACTGCCTAGAACTAGGAAAGGCCATGATTCTATCTTTGTCGTTGTTGATCGTTTTTCTAAGATGGCCTATTTTATTCCATGTCACAAGACTGATGACGCTAAATATGTGGCTGATATTTTTTCATGAAATTATTCGCTTACATGGCGTGCCACGTACGATTGTGTCTGATAGGCATGTTAAGTTCCTTAGCTATTTCTGGAAGACATTGTGGTGTAAACTTGGCACTAAATTGTTGTTCTCTACTTCTAGTCATCCACAAACTGATGGACAAACTGAAGTAGTTAATCGGACTTTATCCACTTTATTGCGAGCAATCATTAAAAAGAACATTAATACTTGGGAAGATTGCTTGCCTCATGTTGAGTTTGCATACAATCGCACCGTTCACACTATTACACAATATTCCCCTTTTGAAATTGTTTATGGTTTTAACTCTCTTACACCTTTGGTCTATCTCCTTTACCTGCACATGAGAGAGTTAACATGGATGGTAAGAAAAAGGCTGAATTTGTGCGCGATTTACATGCAAAGGTGCATGCTAACATTGAGAAATGCACCCTTCGTTATGTGCAAAGTGCCAATAAGGGACGTCGCAAGATGGTATTCGAACCTGGCGATTGGGTTTGGATCCACATGAGGAAGGAATGTTTCCCCGTTCAAAGGCACAACAAACTCCTTCCTCGGGGTGATGGACCATTCCAAGTAGTCGAACGTATTAATGACAATGCCTATAAACTTGACCTGCCAGGTGAGTATAGTGTACATGCTACTTTCAACGTTGTTGACTTACACCCTTTCTCTGCAGACGATGAACTTGATTTTGGGACAAATCGCCTACAAGAGGAAGGGAATGATGAGAACTCAACCGGATTCAAAGATGGCCAAGATTCAAGTGGTCCCGGTCTTCAAATTCCAAATGACCCGATTACTAGAGCTCGAGCACGGAGGCTGAAAGAATCATTACAAGCACTTGTTTGCACCATTCACAAAAACATTGGTAATGACTTGAGGATCATTGAAGGCATTGAGTTCGAAAAGCTACCACGAGTCCAATTGATACAAGTGCATGAAGAACCTATCTCGTAGGATTATTTGATGTTGTTTTCAATTAACAATTAGTTACTTATTTTCAAGTAAAAGTCGGCCTTAAGTCATGTAAGATGGAACGAATCTCTGGTTCAATTTAGCTTCAATAAGTCGGTCAAATGGGCTTGAGAAAGGCCCAAGTCTAGGATCCAATTAGGATTAGGGTTTAAGTCTATGTAAGGCTATAAATAGTCTAATTTCCAACATTTTTAGGGGTTGAGAACAATTTTCCAAATTTGAGTGTTTTACACTTTTCTCTTGTCTAAGAGACTCCCTTGAATATTTGAGAATTTTTCTCTTGTGTTTAATTGAACTTATCAATCAAGTATTCCCCTTGATTGTGGCGTTCGTCTATCCAAAGTTTTGGTTCGCTAAATTATTAGGTCGTGAGTCAAGCCTAATTCTTGGTTCGTGGCTTCGTGGTTTAGAGGGGTCGTAAGCTCCACCATCCCAACTTGATTCGTCTAGATCCTTCCTCGTGATTTCACATCAGTGAAGGAAGTGATAGTCTCACTCCATCTACTTCTTTTCTAACTTTGGGTGGTGGTCCAATTTCTCTTAATGTACCATTAGATACATCTCTTTTCTTCGCTTGAAATGCTTTCAGTTGGGATTTTGTGTTCTCTACCCTTTGCGCTTTCTCAAGAGCATCACTAAATGTTTCAATCTGTGCTGCGGCAAGGGTATCTTGGATTTCTAAATTTAATCATTGGATAAACCGTTTTATTCTCTTCCGTTCCTTAGCCACAAATTCTGGAGCATATGTAGATAATTTCGTAAATCGTGTTTCGTACTCAGCCACACTCAAAGTTTCTTGTTGAAACTTTATAAAATCGTCTTCTCTCTTTTCTTGAACAAGTGGAGGGGGAAATTTCTCATTAAACTCTCGTACAAAGTTTATCCAAGTCATTGGAGTTTGATCTCTTTCCCACTTGTTTCTTATAACATTCCACCAGACTCGTATCGCTCCTTCAAGTTGAAATACAGCAAAGGTGACTTGTTTTTCTTCCGTGTAATCCAAGGCATCGAATATATTCTTTATATTCTCTAACCAATTCTCAGCCACTTCTGGATCAGGCCCTCCAGAAAATTTGGGCGGAAATAATTTCTGAAATCGTTCCAAAGCTCGATCCTCCCCTATCTCTTGGTTTCCACGTTGGTTTTCTTGTCCAACCCCTTAGCCCTGTTGAGCTACTAAGAGCTCTAGTACATCCGTCATGCGAGTTCAAACTAATCCCATTTGGTCATCTCCTCTCCCAACCCTTGGCTCGGCATTTTGATTAATATCAGACCCATTATCTACTCTTTGATTTCGGTGTTGTCTAGGTTGATGTCCCTTTCATTGTCCTCTAGTTTCCATGTTTACAGCTAATTTATATGCATATGCATAAATCTCACACTAAGCCATAATTGAACTCTACACATACCAGTAACAACTTTAAAGAAAAATGAAATCACTTACACAATTAACATTATTACCATACCAATCAAACATAAACTCAAACTCATTAAATCATAACACAAGTTACAGTCAAATAAAGTTCATACCAAGTCAAAGTCAGTAAACAAAAGTAAACAAGTGGTTATCAAAAGTATATTCATCTCCAAGGCACAAACTTTTAAGTTCTACTCTCATCGTCCCACTGCAAAAGGTCACAAGTAGTGCTTCACTAAATTAATTGAAACTAGATGATTTTCGTTCCCTAACACGTTCAACTTCAATCCCAACACCAAGATCTTCTGAGCTATGATCTTCTCCACCTGCCGCTCTTAATTATTGTGCCATCTTAGCCAAACAATTATTGGTTTCCTGTAATTATTCACGTGAATTATCGGTTCATACGTATTCCCCCACAAATGGAGATCTCAAGTTGTTAGAATTGCCCTCAGCTCTTAGATATTTGGGTATAAGAATCCAAAACAAGGTAATTCACAACTCGAGCCGGTCACTCCCAAGAGTAAATCACCACATTCGAGATTCCTATTCAACATACATATCTAATTTTCTCTAAGTATCAAGATAAAGGTTTTATACCTATCACATCCATGATCCATAGTTTCACTCTAGAAGAGCACTTAGGCCTATTTTCATTCACATCATAGGGACCATAACACCATTTGGTCCAAGTTCACCCCGCGCAGATACCACACGAAACAGTTCTGATTTTCATCCATACAAGTTGTCACTTAACTTTCAAACCAAACCCACAGTCTGGCATTCTAAACTTTTAAGTCTAGGATACACTACAAAGATCTGAAACCTAAACTCTGATACTAACTGTGACGCCCCCACTTCTTCCAAGGGTGAACCCAAGGGTATCGGCGGGATGGCTGCCCAACTCTCGCCAGGACTCGGTACAATTCATAATTCAAAATTAGGAATACTTCAAATAACTTTAATATATATATTTAAAGTACTCCAAAACACTTCATACTTACAATTAGTCAACTCTCAAGTTTAATACAACCCAAAAGAATATTTACTACGGCCATCAGCTATAATACAACTTAAAATTTTTTCCAAAAGAAAACAATCTAGCACTATTCACGAACACTTTTGATCTCGAACCCTGTTAAGAAAAATAAAAACGTGGAATGAACTACACAACCCAGTGAGATTCCAAGACACTCTAGCAGTTCTAATAAATCAAGTAATTTGAGCATACACAATGTATGATTTAAGGTTGCACATTGGCACATTAACAAGAGACAGTTATCATTGTACAAGTAATTTGAGCATATCACAGGTATGGTTCAGGGTCACACGTTGGCACATTAGCATGATACAGTTATCAGTATGTAAAAATAAACATACATTGAAGGATATAGTGTTCCAGTGGAACCATTTCGGTCAATTTCATCTTATAACTCTAGTGATCCCCTCGGTTGTCTGGCCATCACCTTATCCCTCCAGTGATAGTACTCGAGTATACCGAAACAGTATCTCAGGATTCCAACCTACTTGACCGAGCCCAGTCCTGGCTCGACTAGGTCAGTAACCAAGTAGGGCCCAGTTCAGCTTAGATCTTCAACATGCACAAGTAATCAAATAAATCGGTAAACGGTAAAAATTTATCAATTTTGTAGGTCGAGTGAGATGAAATACACACTTGTCGTAAAACTGTAAAAAAGTTCATGTGAATACGTAATTTACGGTAATCACATAATCAGGTAGTCAAGTAATCAAGCAAGCAAGTAATTAAGTAAATTGGTAAATAGTGAACGGTAAACGGTAAACGGTAGACGGTGAATAATCTCGGTTAACGGTAAGATTTATCATTTTAGTAGGTCGAGTGAAATAAAGTACATACTCGATTTAAAACAATGGAAAAGTTGATAGGAGCAATTATCGGTAACACTTAACAGTTAAACACATAATGACCATGGAGTAAACATGTCATAAAACTATTCATGTAACGTACTCCTATATGAAACACTCACCAATTCGAAACAAGTGAGTAAGTGTTCAAACAAGTGTTTAGGCGTCCATTTCGAGTTCCTCTTGAAGGTCCCCTTGAGCGCCTGAGTAAATAACAATTAACTATTACACACTATCGCTTAAAAATCCTTTCTTATCGAGAAAGATTGCACCCGTGTACAATCTAAGAAAATATCATAAAAGTAAGACTCAATTACTCGTAAATCGAGATTCAAAGGTGGGGTTTAAAACTCAAGTAAAAATCTATTTTTTATCTTTAAAATCATTGGATGGAAACAAGTACGTTTGAAACCATGTAAATAAATTTCCAGACGAACGATCGAAATCGGACGTGAAGATGCCACGTCACAATCCGGTCAGATTTCTGGCCGGATTCGAGGAAGTGAAGAAACCAAATTTCTTTTTTCAAATCTCACCATTAATTTGGCCAAGAACTGGTCGGATATACGGCCGGATTCTTTGAAAATGGTTCCCGCGCGAAAATCTTTCAAAAGGCTAGGAATTACCGAATTTAGGGGCATTCTTGAAAAAATCATAACTCACTCTCTGAATGTCCAAAATTGGAAAATTTGGTACCGTTGGAAACTATTTCCAAAGTACTAAAAGTTCTTAGAAGACACCTTTCCATGATTCCAAATAGAAGATATTCAAAATTTGGCTCAAAGTGGCTGTTTCGGAATGCCAAGGCAGTTTTGGGTTGATTTTCAGCAAAGTTTGGAAATTCGGCAAAATTCACACAATGCCAACTAGCTTCTAAAATTTGTAACCCAATTAAAGTTACAATCAAAGTTTTCAACACAACCAGCGGAACAAGAATTGGAGTTTCGAGTACCAAGATATAACGGTTCAAAGTGGCTGAATTTCCTCACTGAACAAAGATTTTCCAGGTTTACAACTTGAGCTTTGGTACTTTAGTTGAGCATTTAAATGAACTTAAAATGGTACCAAAATTAGCAGTATTACACTACCATATAAGGGCTATTCCTCTGTCAATTTTCATAGGAAAATCCATTCGGGAAGTGGGTTAACAAAGTCACTAAAGTTCCAATTTTCCAAGGCAAAGCTGCCTTGTACTTCCATTTCCATTTTTTTTAAAACATTTGGCCAATGAATCTTTTCAAACATGGTCCGTTTATGAAGACAAATATCTAAGAAATATCCAAGATACATTTGGTAGGTGATTAACACCAAGAATTTCAAGATCACAAGTCCCAATTCAAAAATAGTCATTCAACTAGCCAAAAAGAGGGTTTTTATCACTAAGTCAGTTTCAGAATTCAGCCACAACCCACTCAATTCAACTTGAAATTGAGTGTGGTTGGTGACGTTGAAAACTAAATTCATAAGGCTACAATTTCTCAGAAGAAATTGTTTTAAAATCCTGTCCACAACTAGCTCATAATTGAGCATCAAGTTGTAGCTCAAAACAGGGCTTTCAGTACAGACGAGAAACAGAACATGCAAATTTACAAGGTTGGTACGGCTCACTCAAGTAGAATCAAGACATGCATTTTATGCCATTGGAAAACTAGAAATATCTAGTTTCTAGTGCCATAAACAG